AATGTATGAGGTCTTGTTTCAACAGTGTATTTAGTCTTCAGTTGCCAAACGTAACGACGGTATCTACCCAAAAGAAAGCTACTCTCCAATTAGCCAAGCAGAGGTTGTGGGGGAATGATCGTTACCTTTTTATATATGGCCGTTTTTTTGCCCTGATCCCCACCAACGTCGGTGGCTGCGGAGCTTCTATGGCTAATGGATACTGCCTGGCCAATTTGATACTGTCTTTTTGCCACCGAGAGGAATCTGCTTGGAGATTAAAAGAGAGCGGCGATTCAGACTTTGTGACAAAAGTAGCTCCCCGCCTCCTGCAGACCCCTACCACTCCTTCCCGACCAGGGCAGCGATCTTCGGCATGTTAAAGGAATCAGCATCATGGACAGGGCAGACAGGGCAATCTTCTTGTCTCTAATAAAAACATTTTAAAGCTGGGAAATAGTAAACATGGACCCGATGGGTGAACATTTAGAAATTAGCCGGGCGTAGCTGCAAATCTACCAAGGCCAGTTGACTCCTCTTGCATATTATTCAACCCATCGGACAAATGTTTACATCCTATTGAGTCTATTGGAGACAAACATGTTACCAAGGCAACGATACTATGACGTATACGCAGCATACTGCTTCATGAAATATTCAACTTTTAATCTTCATCTTTTGATGTACCCATGCCATTATCTAGATTGGTTTTGCCGTCCGCATTGTTGGTTCCGTATTTTATCACAAAACTCTTACGAAATCCACTATGTGGAAGGATCTCGTATTGTGAAAGCCTTGCTGCTCTCATTCAAAATTTCATCTCTTATTTTTAAGCTCCATTACGCACGTTTGTTACAGTGTTTTGGCAGCTTTTTCCCCCAACTCACTGCAGCATGTCCTGTCAGCGATTCTATTGTGGAAGACGGAGAGAATGCGAGAAAGAAGAGAGAGTGATACAACATATGTATAATGATGTCCTTGGGTACAATATGATGTCCTTGGATGTTAAATTTCTCTTTTCATACCGTTTATTCTGTATCATAAAAACATAATGATGTCCTTGGATATTTTATGAGGTGTGTCTGTTTTTCCGTGTGTTTACCAGCTCATGGCAACGGGCTGGTCATACTACTGACTCACGTTCTGGGGGGATGCGATGCTTCGATTTTTTTAAAAGAGTGATAACCTGGTTCGTTAGTTAAGGTTATACGTACTCACAGATCTTCTTTTATATCATCTATTCTGTATTATAAATCATTGTTGATAAGGTTACTTCGATAACGGTGATGGAGACTACTAAAAGGTCACTCCTACCCATGGTCGTAATGGTTTAGCCCAGACCAGCTCATTTTCAAACAGTAATATATACTTCGTCAGTCGGCCTCCTCAGTCACAGTTGAGCTGGAAGGCGTTTCTTATGGGTTTTTGGAAGCGGAACTTCTGACTTCATAACCCGACTCAACCTGAACATTTGGTTACGTTTTCTGTTTTTGCTTGCTTGTTTTCGAGTGACAAAAGAAATCCACAACCGTTAGGTTAGACCGAGCGGTGCGGTGGGTTGAAGGAGCGTATTTTAGGTGCCCTGAGCTGACCGTACGAAGGTATTCGGGAAACGCGCGGGACGAACATGGGGTTTCTCCGGCTGCTGTTCTGCGTCATCGCGATCACCTGCGCCTGGCTGGTCAATGCGGAGCAAGGTAAGGAACTGGTTACTACTTAGATTTCTCTAGAAACAGAGGTTTACGCTTCTTCGGCTTTTTTCATGTTGTTTTAGAAAAGCCAGCGATCCATCGAATTGGCGAGTTGTAGAATTGTGGGCAGGATGGTCCTGTCAATAGTGATTTTTTATGTTATTGATAGGATGGCCCTGTCAATAATGCAAAATGTTCCACTATCGACAGGATAGCCTAAAGCCTAAATATTATTATTATTATTTTTTTTGCAAGGCGTTTATGGCATCATTTTTGTGTCAAAAATACAGACGTTAAAAACGTCACGTTTTGGGGTCAATACGTCAGGTTTTTTGGTCAATACGTCACGTATGCTAGGTGAACGTTCACGTATGACATAACGCGTGGATACGTTACGTACATATGGTTCTGAAATTTCCGTGTCAAAATTATGGACGTAAAAAACGTACACGTTTGTAAGTCAATACGTCACGTACGTTTCATGTATATGTTAACGTAATGTTGGTAATGTTAACGTAAAACTGGTTATGTCAACGTAACGTAGGTTATGTTTTGTTAACGTAACGTAGGTTATAATCCAAGCACTGATCTCTCCACGGATGCCGTAATGGCGTTGGCTATGGTTAACCTAATCGAAGGCTTTAGCAAAGTTCATCACCAGGACGTCCGTCTGACGTCCATTCACCATGTTCTCAAACAGCTCTTCTGTGAATTCCAGAAGATGAGATTCACATGACCTTCCTCTTCTAAAACCGCTTTACCTACTTACTGCAGGTTGGGATCTTCCAGCGAGTTGTCCAACAAATGGTCAGCTCAGTCTCCCCAACGGCAAAATGTACGCGGCACCATCCGACGAGCAGGTCGACTACGCCACGGCCCAGGCCAGATGTGCCGCGGAGGGAGGGACGGTCGCTCTGCCGCTGGACTCGAACGAGCAGGCGTACCTTGTGTTTTTCAAGAACTGTCTAAACCAGTAAGAATCATGTTTTCAATCACTGTTACACCATATAGTACATGAGCAGTTAAGTTAAATATTAAATATGATTAAAAATTTAGCCACAGAGAGTACTTATCATCATCTCTACAGCATCTCTACAGCAGCTGGCTAGTCCACTGGCAGTGGTCTGTGTGTTGCTCCCATACTCTTTCCCGAATGCTACGTGCTAAGTAGATTAAGGCTTAAGCAGTATATACCATTTCTAAAGTCTTTTGTATGACTCGGCCCGGGGGAAGTCAATTGCAAACTCACGACCTACCGAATTCAAAGCGTCTAAGCACTCTACCCACTTGACCATTACACTAGTACTATATACTGAGGCACACTGTACTCCTTTCTAAGACTTGGAAATACCTTAGAAAACAACATTCACCGTGAAACATTGTATCAAAACAGTACAAAACGGGTGCAAAAGGGGAAATGTCATTTTTCTCATGGCATCTTACAGAAATGCTCAGTTTTGGCTCGGAGTCAGTAGACCAGACGGAACGTGGGTTGACAGCCAGGGTAGCGCGCTCGGCGGATTCTCTGCCTGGGCACCCGGGGAGCCCAATGAGCCTACAAAACTCTGTTCTCATCTTGTGTTTGGAGCAATGTCCGATAGTGAACGCAGAAACAAGTGGGCGGACGCACCATGCGGCGCAAGCTTCAGATACATATGTAAAACAAGTAAGTTTTGTGTAATATCCGTCATTAGCATTGTTTTATTCAACAGTTTTACAACACAAGATATAAAGGTGTTTCAAACACAACTGCTTTTTTAATCAGTCTTTCGACAAAGTTTGCAAGTACATACGTTACGATAACTTTACGTTAACGTTAACATATCGTTAACATAACGTTAACATATTGTTAACATAACGTTAACATGACGTAAACATAACGGGATAACTACGTTAACGTTAACCAACGTTACGTTAAAGTTAACGTTACGTGGACATAACCTTTGATATAACCTAACCGTATGTTATTTTGACACGAAAATTAGGATACATAACGTATCAGTACGTTACGTACGTATGATACGTACGTGGCGTATTGACTAAAAGCCGTGACGATTTTTTAAGTCCGTAGTTTTTACACGGAAAATGCAGAATCACATGTACGTTACTTACCCACACGTTATGTCATACGTGACGTATTGACGCAAAACACGTGACGCATTGACCCCAAAACGTGACGCTTTTAACGTCCGTATTTTTTTATACAAAAATGATGCCATAAGGCGTTGTGTAGTTTTGTGCTTTGGGCTATAAGGACCACCGGAAGAAATAATAGGTACAATCGAAATTGTCAACATGATTTTGGTAACCATAGATGTATAACCGTAACTAAAACTTTCCCCTGGCTGAATATTCTGTTCTCCCCACAGGCTGTCCGAAAGCAGGCTACGTTAATTTTAGCGGAAATTGTTTCAAGCTCTTTGCCGAGTCGCAGGCCTACAGTGAGGCCAAGCAGACATGCGCCGCGGACGGGGCGATGTTAGCCATGCCGAAAGACAGCGCGACCAACTCTTTTCTCGTCGGTATGGGAGGTGGTAATCTGTTGTGGATTGGGATTTCTGACGCCCAAATGGAAGGCCAGTGGGTATATGCAAACGGCCAAACTCTGCAGTCAGCGGACTATTCCAACTGGCAATCAGGTCAACCAAACAATTGGGGTGACAAGACTGTGGCGTAATTCAGAGTGAAGGACTGTGGTATGATGATCCATGTCAAGACTCCAATCAATTCCTCTGTCAACTACAACCAGGTATGCTTTCTGCATACTTACTTCATGGATGTTATTATGATGTCATGTTAGATTCTGGCATATTTCGGTGTGTCTGAAATTCTCGTTCTTTCTACAGCGTGTCGGATATCAGACTCCTACGTTCACGTCAGGGGAACCTGCTACAAGTACTTTGCTGAGCTAAAGACGTACTATGAAGCCCAACAGACGTGTGCCGCGGACGGGGCGGTGTTAGCCATGCCGAAAGACAGCGCGACTAACTCTTTTCTCGCCGGTATGGGAACTGCTGATCGGTGGATTGGGCTTTCGGACGCCCAAATGGAAGGCCGGTGGGTATTTGCGGACGGCCAAACCCTGCAGTCAGCGGGCTATACCAGCTGGCAACCACGTCAACCAAACAATTGGGGTGGACAAGACTGTGGCGTAATTGAGAGTAAAGGACTGTGGCATGACATTGCATGTCACGAGTCCAAGCCATTCCTCTGTCAATTACAACCAGGTATGCTTTCTGAATACATACTTCATGGATGTTATTATGATTTCATGTTAGCTTCTGGCATATTTCGGTGTGTCTAAAATTCTCGTTCTCCCCACAGCGTGTCGGGTATCAGACTCCTACGTTCACGTCAGGGGAACCTGCTACAAGTACTTTGCTGAGACAAAGACGTACGATGAAGCCCAACAGACGTGTGCCGCGGACGGGGCGGTGTTAGCCATGCCGAAAGACAGCGCGACCAACTCTTTTCTCGCCGGTATGGGAACTGCTGGACGGTGGATTGGGCTTTCTGACGCCCAGATGGAAGGCCAGTGGGTATTTACGGACGGCCAAACCCTGCAGTCAGCGGTCTATTCTAACTGGAAACCAGGTCAACCAAACAATTATGGATCTGGAGAAGACTGTGGCGAAATAAAAATTGACGGACTCTGGAATGATGATGCATGTCACGAATCCAAGCCATTCATCTGTCAATTACAACCAGGTATGCTTTCAGTGTGTCTGACATTGTCGTTCTCTCCACAGTGTCCGATATCTGACTTTTTCATAACTTCTTTTGTGAAGTTACTTTCGATACAGGAATATTCTTTATCATTTGTAGTGCATTATGTTTTTTCAATGTGCTTAACAGTTTTGTCCACAAAGACTATAAGAGGAAAAATAGGTAACAAATTTAAAGGCAATTGTTCAGCCGATTTTGAATAGTTTGCCCCGTTCGATGATGTTCTTCCTGTACATTCACGGCACTGAGTTTGTCATCCACAAAACTGAGGTTACCGTGTGCTATTGATATTTTGCAGTTCCCCCAGTAGCTGTTTGGCCCTTGGACGCAAAGTATGGCGCATCAGACGCTACAGGAAACGGAAATGACGGGACAGCAACAGGAACCCAGTTAGCCCCTGGTCCGTACGGAAACGCAGACGGCGCTTTCCTGTTTTCGGGAGCTTCAAATTCGTACGTCCACATTCCAAACGATGGCCAGTTAGATGTGCAGGTACTCCTACACCATCCTGGCCCACATATATCCTACTGGGCAGGCCGGGCCAATCTTCCGCTACGCTGGGAATCCCACAGCCGTAGCTATTTGGCAGCAGGCTACATGTAACCTTGTAATGTGGTAAGTTAACTTACTGAATATTCACCTTAAAGAATGATAATTCTATTGTCCAGTTTTCTACTGCATTCTCCGGTTTCTCCTATATTCTCCCGCTTTGTCCTGTATTCTGTTGGTTTCTCCTGGTTTGTTTTGCAATTTCCGGTTTCTGGGTTTCTACTGTTTTTGACTGTATTCTCCTGCTTTCTCCTAGATTCTCCCGCTTTTTACTGTGTTCTCCCCCTCTCTACTTTATTTTTAACTGTGTAGCGCCATTTGCATATCGCATAGTCCTTACTTGCATAAATGGGAACCTTACATGCAGCGATGAATAGATTTTGTGTTCTCTTCCGTTTGGTTGACAATCAGAAGATGGCAGAGGCTTCCTGGACGAATGAAGTAGGATAATTAAGTAAGTAGGACACTTTCTGTTGTAGGCCGAATGGAAGAGATGGACAACCTGCACCTACCATCCAAGCTGCTGTGCTAGAACAGAACGCCTGGAACTTCGTGGGTGGAACCTACGACAATACCACAGGAGTGGGATCCATCTGGAAAAACGGCGAACGGGTCGGGCAGGCACAGGTCGGGTTCTCGTCAGTCGCAACCCAGTACGATGTCCGGGTGGCCAAGACAGACGGTAACAGTCAGATTTTCAAGGGTCGAATCGCCTGTCTTCAGCTGTACGACTATGCCTTGACAAGAGAGCAGATTGTAGCAGCCTGGAATGTGTGTAGAGGTGGGTCCAACGTCTATCTATCGAGTTTGAGTGTCGTAAGAAAAAGTACGTTGATAAGTATACCATGTTGTTAAATTCTCATCACATGTTACGGCCTGATCCGTAAATAGCTTAATCAGGTTGGTAAATCAATATAATTATAGTTATTTTTGTGTGTGTGCACAGCCTTATTTTTACGGACGTTTCAGAAGCGCCTTTGCTACCTTCATTATGCATGGTGATGTGCTTTATTTGTGTGTGACTTGTGATATTTTCATTCTGCAGGAGACAGTTCTTGTATCTTTTGTACTGAACATGTCATGGTCATGCTTTGTAAAGAAAGAATATACGGCGGGATATCCAAGAGCTTTGTTTCTGTAGGTAGATTGATAATGCGTAAGTAATTTGCTCTATGTTTCCTAAAAGTATTTTATATGTACTCATTGCAGACGAATGTGCAACAGAAAATGGAGGTGTGACCAGATCTGCACCGACCTCCTGGGAAGTTACACCTGTTCCTGCCGACAGGGTTTCGTGTTGATGGCAGATGACCATGGTTGTGAAGGTGGGGAGATTTATATGACAAGCAAAACAAGAACTTTTTTTCTCTCGCTTTTTTATAAGACTTCCAAACAATGGCAAGTTGAATGCTTTTGCAGACATTGACGAATGTGCGACAGACAGTGGAGGGTGTGACCAGATATGCACGAACGTCCTGGGAAGTTACAACTGTTCCTGCCGACGAGGATTCATGTTAAAGACAGACGGCCATAGTTGTGAAGGTGGGTAGATGTTGGATAGATCCATAGATAAATACAATTAAGGGGAGTCTTTGTATGTATAGGAGTAATAGACAGCAATGTTCTTGTCGGTTTTTCAAACATTGTCAAAATTTGACCTTCAACAGTTCGACAATGACTCCTTTATATTCTTCAGTGTGCGGCCACTGCCAGGGCGGGGACGTCAACTGTGACCCGATCTCGGGTGTGTGCTCGGCTGGGTGTCAGGCTGGGTGGAAAACCCAGCGCTGTACTCAAGGTACGTACGGTGTGCGGGCATAGCGCTGTACTGAAGGTATGGTGTACATGCATCAACATAGCGCTGACCTGAACGTAAGGTGTTCGGTATGTTGCACTATCAGGCAAATATTCGGGAAAGACTGCTTTAAAATTGGGGCGTTAAAGGTCGTTTATTTACTGTGCATTGCACTGGTCGAAAAGAGCTAGGGGAATTTCCCCGGTACCATGAACCTGTGGTAAATACAGTACATAGCTCCCGTCTTCTCTGTCATGACCAGTGGAAGATTAGCTCAACTGTTAGCTCAACGAGTCCATGTATCTATTAAGCTGGTTCGAGATCACTTGCACTTGCACTTGCACTTTTTCCGCAGCTGTGGACCCACCTGTAAACCTGGCCGTTACTGACGTCACGGAAGGAGGGTTCAATGTCACGTGGTCTCCATCCCGTGACCCTGACCTTCAGGGGTACCGTGTCGTGGTGCTGAGGCTGGACCTGACGACAGCTGTCAATCACAGCACGGACCGGGCGTCATGCATGGTGGCCGGGCTGTCATCGGAAACGGATTACGTCATCGAGGTGACGTCACTGGTCCTGTCGGAGGGTCGGAGGTCACGGAGCGAGGAGGCGATCATGCGCGCAGCCACTGGTATGAAGTTTTTGTTCCTCGTTCTTCCTATCCAGAGTTTTGCCTATCCGAGTAATAATGTTCGCGTATCTAAGAACGTAGATTTGCCCCAGGCACGGTTCTGGATTCGCGTGGACTATCTAAAACCGTTACTGAGCAAGGTTCTAAATAAAGCACGGTACGCGAAAGTTCAGGAAACTGATTTTGACCATGCATTTCCAGGAGCGCGTTCCTCCACAGACCTGCAGTTTGTTGAAGTGACCGACTTCATACTGGTCTTCACCTGGGTGCCTCCCGACGCGGCTGTGACCGGGTACCGCATCATGTACGGACAGGAAGAGGCGACGGAGCGGCTCACCCCCTCCCCGGGTCCCGGCGCTAGATCTGCCGTCATCACGGGGCTCCAGCCCGACACGATGTACAAGGTGGAGATCACTACAATCGGAGTTTACCGAGAGAGTTCTCCTCTAGTCGGACAGAACAGGACCGGTGAGTACACGGGTTGGTCTTCAACTAATCTCCAAGCAGATCATTTCGTGGCTGCGACATTGATAGAGCAGACGAATTAAGCAATATGGCTATAACACAGTCCCTCTTTTCCCTGCTAGCACCTATCCCGACAACTTCGAATCCTGCTACTACCACTCGGCGGACAAATCAGATGACTACCGTCCTTTCCACAAGCTCGTCCTCTTCAAGCACTCCGGCGAAGACGATGGAGTCTGCAGGAGACCAGATATCGTCTGACGACGGTAGGTGGTCATAAGCGATACTTTTAGATTTAGAAACCTCGTGCACCCAGAGTAAAATTAGCGCCCCTTAATGTGGCAAAGAACCTGAGAATTACCTGGCGGCATTACATACAGAGATTAATGTGTCAATCTGTTCTCTCAGATGACGCTGGAAGCGACAGTGATTACTCTTATGACAGTGATTACTATTATGACTCGGAGCCAGAACCGCCAATTCCTACAACAGAGCCCAACAAAGCTGGTAAGTTGGTGATTTATTCCAAAGACAATGGAGTCCTTCCTATCCGGGCTTTTTTTATATGTGCTCGTTTGATTAAGGTACAAAATGCGGAAAGGTAACACTTGCAAAGGAAACACTGAATGTTCATCTTCACATGGTCAAGTCCAGCAAACTGTTGCTCTGTTCATTCATATGCATGGTGACCAGCCCCTTTTAATCTGCCCTGCCAGTTGCTACACAATATAATCTAACAACACAACACAGGGTGCCGGCTGCACTAGCACCAGTTACCATGATGGTGATAGCCGTCTGTTCAAAGACTTTTTTTTAATCATTTCGAAGAAGAAGAGGAAACAAGCAACAAATATAGAAATAATAATATCCATTCTGCTTCCTTTTGTTCTGTACAGCAACAACGGCAACAAGCAGCAAATCACCGGATGACGTCAGGCAAACGTCATCATATCAGGTTTGCAGCTTTCACGAACAATTTACTTAGCTCATATCAGTAGATTTGCAGATATCGGTTACAAGATAAAACAGGCAATCTTGAGATTTACCAACACCCTGCGTGTATGTAAAACTAGATGCGTCTATGCGACTCAAAGAGCATCCAAATGCAACGATCTCAATCCCCGTTTAGCTCAACACTACCCTAAGAACAGTATCGATGATATTTGTGCAGCATGTGTCTCCACAAATTGTTAGGATATTCTTACAATCTTGTCTTGGTTAAGCCAGCTTTGAAGACTTTTTTTCATCGCTTTAAAAACATCTGAGTTCAACCTTCATAACCAACGATTTTCTTGCAAGCAATCACCTATATAGTTCTAATGGTGTGCTCATATCTGTTGTTCAAATTAATGAAGCCTGTAGAGGTGAAGACAACAGCTGCTGAGGAAAAGACAGAGGTAAGCATAAAGATCGTAATATTAATTCAGATGTAACAACTTTATCTATTTAACACTTAGATACGCGTCACCGATGTCAAATGCAAATCAACGCACATTCTGATAAAGAGCAGCAGAAGCCATATACAGGTCAATAAAGCCTAGAACAAGAATCCGCCCTTAAAGCCTATTACAACCAAAGGCTAGCTTAAAGAGTCATAATTACTCCCCACCCCACAAAAAATGAATAAAGGTACAGCAAGGGTCGTGTTGACGAGGTGTACGGGAATAGATCCTCATCCATGCTTTATCCTCATCTAAATAACATATGTAGCAAGAAGAAAAAGAAAACATATATACAGCTCCAGATAACAAAGAAATATAGAAATGATATAAAGCTTCAGATGATGAATAAATAACAAACGTAGTGAGTCAACACAAATTATGATTCAGTTCTGATTTTGTTGCGAATAATGATACCCCTATGGTCTTCAACAGGTGGATAAGGCGATGGACATTCTTCAGTCCATCACAAGCGCACTGGATGAGGTCGACATGTCCGACCCGGTAACTCTAGAGTCTGTGGGAGGATGTAAGTACAGAAAACACAAGTTAACTAGTTCTGGAGTCACAGAGAGAAGATTGACACCAGATGACGGTCTGACTCCTTTCTTTCTTACTTTACCAATAGATATCATACGAGCAAAGGGCGGACTGCATACGTACAAATACGGGACAACTTTTAGATTCAGATTTATGATGTTTTGCAGAAAAATCCATGTAACACAGCTTATGAGTAGTGCTATTGTGTATGGTTAGAGCAACGTCTTTTACACGTCTTGTTACTGTATAACAGAATTTCTCTTTCTTTCACAGCTCTATTAGAGTCCATCGCCGTCTTGCTTGAAGAACCAGAGGAAGATGCGGAAGAGAAGACGGGTGATGATGGGCTCAGTTCTGAACCCGTAGAGGACGAGAGTCTCTCTCCAGAGGAGCTCCTTCAAAACGCTGAACAAAAGAAACACGAGAATGAAGCTAAGGTAGAAATGCCATTACGCTTTGCTCAACACCCTTATTGTATAAACTCACCTGTGTTACACTTCTGCATCCTTGAACAGTTGACTATTGCTATTGACTTGTATGGACAGCTGTGAAATGTACTGACCAACATGTTCCAAGGGTATGCATATGAAAATGGTATCGTTGGAATTAGCTTTCCCTATGTTTTTCATATGGTGCTTAAGCATGCCCTTTCCCTTTAGCTAACTGTTAAATTGGTATATCATGTAGACTTTCAGATTACGGGAACCACTGTTATAGGAACAATAGATTATCATCATAGGTCATAACTGCAATGGCTGCATCAATTATCCTCATTTTACTTACAGAGAAGCAATCTTGTCGAGCAAAGCCTTTGGGTCCTGGAGAAGATGGAAAATGCCATGATCAAGACCCTAAAGCCTGGAGACCCACCTGTGTCGCTCACAAAAGGCGGAGTCACCCTGAGTGCTCAGAGGATTTTGGGCTCTGAGTTTGGGGGCCAGGTCGTGCAGACAGAGGAAGGAGGCTTCCAGCTTCCGTCTCAAGCCGCACTTTTCTCAGAATTCGGACATGCGCCGCGCAGTGTCACCGTGAAAGTAGGTGTCAGTGTCCTGCTCTAGTCATCAATGATCCCTTCTCTTCATTTCCAAAATGGAGGCAAAATTGGAGTAGTATCGTAACATCCACAGATTAATTAAATCAACTGAGGAATAGCCTTAGGTTTTAGCTAAATGTGTTTATGATCATGAACGTTCCATTCTGCATTATGATCATGCTAACCAGCATGAGTTTCATTCTTGTCTTTCAGATGAAGCAGTTTGAACAAAACCCGTTCACCTGGGGCTCCGGGGAACACCAGGTCCGGTCATCGGTCATGGAGCTGTCCCTTCAACAGGACAACAACGAAGTAATGACTTTCCGAAACCTCACAGAGGACTTCATCATCACTATTCCAGGCAATCCCAAAAATAAACCGGCGACAAAGATCATAACCATCCCTTCGGCCGGAAATAGAAGCGCCAGGTATCATTTCTACAACCTTACCGACAGGGCAGAGGGATTCCTGGTCACCATCATACCGTTAAACTTGAGTGTAGTGTACCGCGTGTCGGGTAGGCGCGGGGGCCGCCCTGACGACCAGAACTACGACATGTCCATGGAAACGTACGTTCTTCCCGAGCAGTGTTCCCTGGTGAAAACTCTGAGTGGCGATGAAGGCCACACGGACAAGATAAAGGCAACAATGTTCATCCAAGGGGAGGAGGATCCGGGAGAATACTACGTCAAAGTTCAGGTTCTAGGTCAGCGTTTTGATATGCCATTTGATGCTACAATGCATTAATGCTTTACATACTAGATAGAGAGAACCTGTTCGTACATATTGACAACGATACATGATGATTAACATATGTTTTGTTGTGAACAAAAACTATTTGCCTGACAACCTTAATGAATAATCATATAATTGGTTAAAAACCTAAAAACCGGGCCAAGACACCACCACAGTTAGATTTGTCGCCCATTCTAGTATTTTGTTTAATTTGAGTATTGGAACTTGTGTCATTATTTGTGAACTTATGAATTTGTGTCATTATTTGAACGAAAATCTAGGTCTGGTCCAAAGATAGTGTTTTCTACATTCAATATATTGACGACGTATTTTGTAATTGCCTTACTTTGTCAACAGTTACGACTGGAAATAAAACAATCGCTTCTGTAATCACACGTCTAATTTCTATGAATGCACACTTGAATACCATTTACTGGTGCTGTTGCCGTTTTTCAGGTCCAGTGACCGACTGTGGCGTCGAAAACAAGTCTGGCCCAGGGGATGACTTCTTTGCCTACGACATCAAGTGGGCCCGTCTGAGGTGTCTCTACTGGAACGAGACCCAGGAAGCCTGGAGGACAGACGGATGTGCGGTAAGTAACGTCAGAGTAACTGTTCTTCCTGTTGGTTCACATTTGGTCAATAGCACGAATAAAATTCACGACCGTCATATCTGGAGAAGTATAACCGCGAAAACAGTGACAATGAAAACACTGCGACCATTTCCGGGTTTGCTTTGATATTTAAGAATATAATGTGGCAAAATGCAATGATGACATAACATGTCCTTTGTCTCTCCCACAGATTAGCAGCCAGTCTAGTACCAACAGCACCGTCTGCCACTGTAACCATCTAACAGCGTTCGGGAGTGACTTCGCCACGCCGCCCAACGCCATTGACTTTGGGAAGTTGGACTTCAGCGATCTAGAAAACAACGGCGCGGTTTTCACAACCGTTTGGGTGGTGTTCTGTTTTTTCACGCTCGCAATGGTCGCTTTACAAGTCATGGAGAAATTCAAGAAGAAGGTACATTTACCCATTAATAAGATCTGCAAAAATCGATATATTCGTGAGCATTCCTTCGTGAGTATGTAGAGCAATTGTTATCCGTTAACATTCATGGTGAGCACTATTGTTTCTTAAGTTTACATTCACAGAACAGGGAACTGTATTGTTTTTGCTCATTGTCTTCTTCGTCTGTCAATGGTAACTGATGCAGTAGCAGACACCCTGCATACTGTAGCAAGTGGCAGGATAAAGTAAGAAGGGGTGGTCACCATATAGGCCATGTGAAGTTTAACATCATGTATTTACTCTGCAAGTGTTGCATTTCCAGTTCATAAACCTACATATGTTCTAACTCACGCAGCTGAACCGCTCCATTAAGTTATACGGCTTGCAGGACCGTCACCCGTACCGCCTCCACATCTGGACAGGCTCCGCTAAGCATGCTGGGACGGAGTCCACCGTTGCCTTCAAGCTGTTCGGTGATGCAGCATCCTCCGATCTGAAAGTGGTCAGCGGTGGAAAGGAGGTACGTGGCTATACTTATATATATATATTGTATCCAGAACTGTGCTTTACCAGAATCATGCTTAGGGACGGTTCTGGATAGTAGTAGTCCACTCGTATCCAGAAACGTGCCAAATCTACGTTATTGGATATCGGGAGACTATCCAGATGTCTAGAACCTCTAACCTTAACCCATTGAGGCATAGAAGTAGATAGATGCGGTCCTGGATACGGCAGTACCTTAATTGTCGCCTCTGTATGACTCCTTGACAAAATCACTTTCCAAATTTTAATCTTAAGTACCGAACACAACAAAGGGGTCTAATGACAGTCGTGATGTTTTATTGTTGTTTAGGTTTTTGCACGAGGCAGCCAGGTGACGCTGACCTTCAGCACAGCAGAACATCTGGGTACCGTGGAGCTGCTGCAGCTCATGCACGACAACAGTGGGGAGGGGAGCCGCGCGGCGTGGCACGTGGACCGAGCAGCCGTGCAGGATCTCACCACCGGGAAAATGTGAGTTTAGTCGAGCTTGCCGTTGCTTTCTAGTGGGTCGCTCAGCTGTTTGTTCCACTCCGTCCATGATTTATCCATATGTCCAGGCTTATCGGGATTTGGACGGGCTCCCTTCGTAGACAAGTTAGTTAGTTAGTTATGCCAGTCCACATGTTATCACAGTTTATTATATCTCCATCTGTTCATTTTAATTTCGTAACGACAGGTCCTACTTCTTCTGCGGGGAGTGGCTGGCAGCCGACCGCGGGGACAGGCAGGTCGTGAAGACCTTTCCTGTCGCCTCCGAGGAGGACTTGCGATCCTTCTGGTTCCTGTTCCCGGCAAGTCTGCGGACTATCCTGGTAGACGAACATCTCTTTCTGTCCGTCGTTACCATGCCTGAAGGTACAGTTTAATAGAGATGTAGGTTGTTTTGTAATGTGTAATGTGTGGTGCAATATCGAGATCTGCCTAGCCATCCACGAGTATAACCCTGCCTGCAGTGTATGTATACAAATAAAAACATACATATTTACGTTGTTTTAACTGTTCTACCTCACTTTTCCCTTGCAGGTAGCACGTTCACCCGAAGCGAGAGGCTTGGCTGCTGCCTGAGTCTACTCCTCATGTCCATGGTGTCCAGCGCCATGTGGCTGAGAGACGAAATAGAAACCCAGGTCGTGCAGGCCATCAACCTGGGTCCGTTCTCCTTCACCTTGAACGAAGTCTACACGGGAGCCATGTCCAGCATCACCTGCCTTCCCGTTGTCCTGGCGATAGTTCTGCTGTTCCAGTACAGCAGACCGAGCAGCAAGGGCGACAGCCGGGTCCGAGACATGGAGACGGGCGACCGACCCGAGGTAACCACGCAACAGAGACCAACCAAGGGCCTGCCACACTGGTGCAAGTACGTGGCCTGGGTGCTGGTGGTGCTGTCTTCCGTCGGGTCAGCTGCTTTCACCGTGCTATACAGCTTGGAGTGGGGCAAGGAGAAGTCAGAGAGGTGGCTGTCTGCGTACTTCACCACCTTTTTTGTGGACACCTTGTTCTCGCAGCCAATAAAGGTGGATAAATGATACATTAAGCCATCTAATATTTGTGTACATGTTAGTAAGAACCTTCAATAACAATAGTGTTAATATAGATAGCTTTAATCGTTTTTGCGATACCATACACATGGGTTTGTGAATTATTCTGTAAATTGACGAGTACGTCTTCTTGTATTACATGTGTGTCTGCCACAACTTAATGTGCAGATGAATTCAGATATAGCATTTTTATATCACAGATAATGCTGCTTGCCACCTTCTTTTCAACACTTCGAAAGACGCAGGCTATCAAGCAGATTTTCGAAGAGAAGCCAGAATTTTTTCACAAGAGGAGGAAGCTGTGTCTTCACGAATGAGGGCAGGTTTAGACTGTGAGTTTTCACACATCTCTCAGAGATGCAAAATGTAACACTTAATTACATTACAATAATGAGCTTAACCATGTCATTTTCTAAAACGTATATTCTAGGCATGGTGTTCCAAGTGGCATATCAAAGCGATGCGATGTGTAAGGGTTTGGCTAAAAGTAAATTAACTTCTAACACATATTTTGTTTACCCAGTCGCAAACTCATTATATCCAGACCCTGCTTTCAGAGAATATTTTGTTCTTTTATCATTTGTCACCAAGATTAAGTTTCTTTATTCCTTTTCTAATAAAAAGGCGTCGCATTTCGCAAGGAGAGAAAAATGGAAAGACTCTCAATGATGTCCCTTCTGAACGTCAAAGAAGCGAGAATGGGGAAGACAGGGACAGGAGATTTAGGGTCGTTCTTTGGGGCATCGTGTGGTATTGTTTGAGCCTTCTCCTCCTAGTCATAATCGCCGACGCGCAACACAAGACAACTCCGGCCTTCCACCAGACACAAAGCGCGACCAACAGCTTTGTGCAATCTCTAACCAAGGTACTTCCTCAGAGAATCATTCTAAATCATTAGAAGTTCCTATATATGTATGCGTAGAGATTGGGCAACTAAATAATGTATCAACAGACAAGTAAAAGGTACGATTCTTTATCAATCCACAGGTCAAAGGGGCCGCTTCGTTCTGGTCCTGGCTGAACGTGACCGCTCTGGAGAGCTTTTACCCGGACACGTCCTACAATGGCGGGCATCTCCACTGGCGGGAGAAAGGCTTCACGGCTGACGTGCAGTCGGTCCTGGTCTCCCCGCCAAATCTCATGCAATGCCGTGTAAAGCCAGGTCGGTGGAACCACCTTTCACAGGACATTCTAAGTCGACTGATCATACAACATGATCCTAACTTCCTTGTATAGTACCACAATTTTAGAGCAAACATAACGCGAAGAAAAAATGGCACAATTTACTAACGTGGCGATGTTTACAGAAAAATCTAGAGATGTTTTTTTAGATTTCGAGATTTCAGATTTGGATAGTTACCATAAAATCTCGAGACTTTTTGATCGCTAATGCAGAAATCCGACATGTCTTCTTATCCCTTCTCCTGCCATCCTAGGGCTCTGTACGGTACCTGTGGCAGTACAGCATGACTTTGAGGAATGCTCATCGGGGTATGACGAACACACAAAGGAGACCGGGACGTTTAGGAAGGGATGGGAAAGGGTCACGAATACGTCAGAGGTTGAACCAGGGGACACTGGCTGGAACTACCACCCCGGCGACTCCCTCAGTCTCCCCATCTACGGTGTAACGACACGATACTGGGGAGACGGCTTCGCTGTGCAGCTGGGAAATCTGCAGACGAGATGCGCAGCATCCTAGCCGAGCTGAGGGACGACGGCTGGATAGACAAGCGGACGAGAGTCATCTTCTTGGAAGTCATGCTCTACAACGGAAACCCGGACATGCTCACATCGCTGACGGCGGTGTTTGAATTCTCCGAGACGGCCGGAGTTTTCACCCAACACCACCTGCACACTTCCCGGTTTCATCAACAGCCGGGGACGATCGGGTACATCTACGTCCTGCTGGAAATCGTCTACGTCATCATTCTCCTCTACACGCTGTGGAAAGAGGTGAACGCTGCACGGGCAGCCGGCCTGGCCTACCTGAAGGACCTGTGGAACGTTGTGGAAATCTTCAACTTCTTCTTAGCATTCACTGTCATCGCCTTGTACGGCGTTAATAGAGGCTACAGTTCCAAGGCGCTGACGGCGATCCGAGATGGGGAAGGTGAGTTACTCATTCAGACGAAAATCTTTTACAACACAGAGATAAAAAACATCTCTTGAAGAGGAAAACCATCAAACTTGTTGTCAACGATGATACAATATGGTGATAAAATATCATTCCTTCATGTATAAACTCATTATTCGTGTTGTCTCGAAATGTCTTACCACTATAGTGTTCTCTTCTCTCATTTAAATATGTAGTTCTACATTCCCGATCGATGGTGAAGATGAACCTGGTGTACGGATGGTTCCTCTCCTTCCTGACGTTCGTCAGTATGTTGAAGCTCCTGCGGCTGCTGAGGTTCAACCCGTTCCTCGCCAAGCTGGCGTCCGTGTTCCGAGCGATGGCCGAGGAGTTCTTGGTCTTCATCATCTACTTCTTCATCATACTATCAGCATTCGGCGCCTATACCTACCTCACGTTTGGCCTTATTATGAAGGAGTACACGTAAGGAAACCTATGTAGCGCAGCCAATTGCGAATTATTTTGGAAGATCATAATTACATTAACGATAACTGAAAAGCGAGAAGTTGAATTTATGTAACCTTAGTGATAGTAAGTTTTCTTCTTTTGCATCTGTCAACTGTATTTGTTTATCATTTTTTGTTGTGACGTACTGTACTGTGTGGCAAAATGTACAATAAAGTCGTCATCCAATTGATCTTTATCTTATTTTTCCAGAACATTCACAAACTCCTTGTCCACATTATTCCAAATGTCTCTTGGATCCTTCAACTTCCACGAGCTGCAGGAGGCTAATCCAATTCTCGGCCCCATCTATTTCTTCGGGTTCGTTTGCATACAAATCCTTATTCTGATGAACGTCGCTACGGCCATCATCGACAGAGCCCTTCCCGATGTGCGGAATCACGTCATGCCTGAGGCGGACCAGGACTTCATCCGGGGTGTGTGGCAACGCTTCACGGCCTTCTTCGGCTTCGAAGAAGTACCTGTCACAGGTAGCGTGGTCTTAGCTCTCAAATAGACGTCTGACTCTCAACAAACAAACAAATAAACAAATCTTTTTCCTATCTTAGAGTCTTGGTTTTGTCTTGGCAGCTTAAAAGCGGGCTGTTAATCTCTTCGTCACATAAAGTTCTCGTCGCAAATATTGTAGTAAGCTGTAAATTTTGCATGCAACGACAAACTTACATCCTACAAAATATTGTTTCAACGGCGTTTGTTCCCTTGAAACGTATTGAGGTATTCCCATCGACTTAGGTGATGACGCAATGGACAAGCTTCATGACAGCATCACAGAAGTTGAGATTAAAGCCGAGAAACTGTGGCTGCAGAGAAAGACACTCTTTCACTGCAGGTAAGTACGAGATTTCTTTGAAGAAAGTGGTACTTGAGCGCAATGAGGTGTCGAAGATGTATGAGGTGGTCCTCTAGAATTTGGTACAATTGCACCTCGATGGTGATGATTTAGTTTTAGTATGTATTACACTGTAAGTAGAGTAAAGTGGAGTTGTTTTCTCCGGGTAGGAACCCTTGTTCCAGTCTAGGTCACTCCCCACTCCCACTGTCATGTTTCTGTTGATGGCCCAGAGCTAGCTCTTCATGACGAATATTTCACATATTCTTATGTCTGATGCACAGGGTGAAGGATGCGGACCTCCCCACAGAGCCCGAGTTTGTCCCGGCTGTCAAAGATGTTCCGGATGCTGCAGCAGTGGAACTCGGTGTGTCCAAGGCATCCCGCGCCCGCCGCCGCGTCACTGAGGTCCGTCCTGCCGCCCAAAACAACAGCACGGACGACGGATGTCGAGCGGAGGCATCAGTGGCGGTGGCATCAAGCTCCTGGTCAGAAGGACTGTCGGACAGCCATGACAGCCACCAAACCAAACAACAACAGGTTACTAAGCAACAGCATCACGCAGAGGCAAAAGCAGTGACGTCACCTCTCAATCAGCCTTCTAAACTGACAGACGAAAAGGTAACATCCAAGAGGCCGAAGCATCTCGAAAATCGCGTCAGAGAACGTCGGTTAGCTTTGGACATCCACACTACTGGGGGCAAGGCTGAAACCGCATCGAGCAAAGTATGGGTGCCAGGGCTCACGTTAACCATCTTTGACAGGAGGGTTCTGACAGTCGGTGAGATGCTGACGGACGATCACATCCAGGCCGCCCAGAAGCTGCTCCGCCGCCAGTACCCGGCACTCCAAGGCCTGGAGGAGCCCGCGGTGGGCCTCTGCGGGGACGGGTTTGCCAGAATGACGGGAAATGGGCTACAGATCCACAACAACAGAGCCCAGCACTGGGTTCTGTCGTCTCACACAGACGGACAGGTGTGTCTGTACGACAGCCTCGGCACCGCCATGACCACATCTCTGCAGATTCAGCTTTGCCAGGTTTACGCCGCGTTTGCTGACCGAGAGAGGCACGTGCTATCTGTAAAGAGACCGACCGTACAGAGGCAGACGAATGCTGTAGATTGTGGGCTGTTTGCCATCGCCTGGGCAGTGGACATCGCGGAGGGGCAAGATGTGTCCATAGTCGTGTATGATGACGAGAAAATGAGGAGCCATTTGGAGATGTGCTTCAAACAAGAGAAGCTCACACCATTCCCACGTCTGCACGGTTACATCGCGAGGGCCGGCCCAGCGAGGGTCGAACGCGTCTCGCTGGTTTGCCGCTGCGCACAGGGACAGGGCGAGCGTCTGGGAAGGATGGGGAGGTGCAAGGTGTGCCGCAGGATTCTACATGTCAGCTGCCTGCCGACCTGCCCTGCTGATGATGGCACGTTGTCATGCGGTGACTGCACCGTGTGAGGTCACATAATTCGTGCAATCATCGTTGGTATCGTAGAACTGAGGGCATTCTTTGGATGTGCCATGTCTTGTTTTGGACAAAGCTGTCTGAAATTTTTGTTTAGGTAGGTTCTGTTCAAGCAAATTTTAGAGACTGGTTGCCACTACACAGGGCCCAGATTTCTGACAGAGAGACACGTAACGGTCACAAACTGGACATTCCCACGACTAGAACAAAAAATATACCAGGACTCTTGTATTCCATATATGATCAATTACAATTTGCTCAACCAGCATGGACATATGTATAATTGGTACCAATGGTAATATTAGTTTTATACTTAGTTGATAATTTGCTCGTTCAATGATTTTAGCTATCTTGTCTGACCTGTGACCTCAACGTGTATGTAAATTTGTAGTCATATGTGTATATTTGTACTGTGGGTGTAATGTGTAAGTGTAATGAACCCTGGAAGATTAGCCCTAACGGGCTAAAGGGTATCGTAATAAACTGAAACTGACTTGGCAAGGAATCAGCACTGTAAATATATTGTACCAGTCTGTCTTTTGTAGCTTTTTCTGATATGAAATCTTAACTTGCATTATTTGTAAATATCTATAGCCACCTATATTATACAACTGCGTCTATTTTAAAACGACAATGTTTTAGCCACTTCAACTGTTTTTATCTAATTGAGAATTTTTTAGTACATGTAAATTCGATTTTTAAATTCAGTATCATTCACACTGCGAAAGCGAATAAAGTAATCTTGTGTCTTGTAAGCCTGCTTGAAGGTACCACGACAATCGTGCGACGTTCTACGACAATCGTGCGACGTTCTACGACAATCATGCGACGTTCTACGACAATCTTGCGACGTTCTACGACAATCATGCGACGTTCTACGACAATTATGCGACATTCTACGACAATCATGCGACGTTCTACGACGAAAGTGTCTCCTTCGCAGAGAAAAACTGATTGGACACGTGATGATACACAGGATTACCAAATACCTTGCCAATTTTGAACCTTATCCTTAAACATGTGTAATATTAACATGAAGGTCACCTGTTTAGTACAGTGTACATTATAATTAGTACCAGTTATTTCTAGATACATGTAATATATATCGTTGTTAGCATATTATATAAATTTATTTGGATGTACTTGTGTGTGTGTGTGTTTGTATGTGACTCATCAACCTTAGACATGTATTATCATTAATCGTGTTTGAATTGCCTTACCTTATTTTGAATTTTGAAGTTGCCATATTTTGAATTCATGACCGGTACTGAAAAATATGTGAATAATTTGATAAATTGACCATTCTATTTTAAACACGGCCATCTTAACCTTGTACCTTTACATTCAACCTGACCGAGACACGAGAAGAAGTTAAACATGTGTTGAGTAGTTTTACAGTTCATTCATAGATTCAGTACAAGCCCTACAAATAATGTATATTGTCACTACATGTCTTATACTTCTGAATGAGAATACTTGCACTTGGTCCAATTGAACATGAATGTAAAATAAAGGTTGTCATTATTATTGGCATGGCTGAATTATATCTGTGATGCGGAAAAATCGACTTCATGTTTCATGAATTTGGTTGAATAAAAAGAGAAGAATCCTCTCCACATGTTCTACAGTCTGGGATGATTCAGCAATGTGACCCAGCCAGCGTTGCCGTAGCAACAGTTGTAAACACGTGTCAATATGCATGGAGGGAGTGTAGTAAATATCTTCAAACTTTTATCACTACCTCCGGGTCTAAAAAAAGCTATCCACCCCTAATCTCTCTTTCTTCCTGTCTATCTTTCGGTCTATCTGTCTTTTATTCTTTCACAATAGAGTCGCTGACAGGGCATGTTGCAGCGTGTTTGAGAAACATCCTGCCAAAAACACTGCGACAAACGTGCCTAACGGAGCTTAAAAGTTAGAGATGAAATTTGAAATGACAGCATACTGATTTTTGGACGGCCAATTTAGATCTTGTTGTTGTGTCACCAGCGAGAGAGGCACCAAAAACATGGGGAAAATTGTTCCCTTCATTTTTCACATTCCCAAACACCGTTGTTATTGATAGGACCCGACCTTGGTGCTTAAAATATGGCAGCTTGATGCGCTTCCATACGAGCGCCACCTTGCTGAAGACGGTAGAAACGCAACGCACTCCGCTTCCTACCAAGGTTTCAACCTCTTTTTTCCCACCAATAGCCCATTGTGTTTCGTTCCGATTTCGCTAGATGGCGTGACTAAGTTTCTCTAGTTCTCTATTGACTGTAGGCTATTGTTAATGGCTAATGGTTTTTGTTTGTCATGTCGAGTTGACTCGAATTTGAAAAGCATACCTTTGTAAAGAAAGTATATTTGTATCCGTATAATCAAATCAACATGGCCTAAGAGGGCAATGCTTTAATGGGAAAATAATGGGTGGGCACCTGTGAAAGAGTGACAAGGACAGAAGTATACGTAATTCAGGCCATGGTGGTTGGGAAGCACACAACGCAACGACCATACACAGAAGTTGGCACACTGGACATCAAGGTCGAGGGGAGTCAGGTAGAGCAGGTCAGTCGGTTTACCTACTTAGGGACAACCTTCAGCAGCGACGGGACGACAGACTCTGAGCTCTCGAACCGCATACAGAAAGCCTCCGGAGCATTCAACCAGCTTGGGAAAATATGGAACAACAGGAACATTCTTGATGCAACCAAGTTGCGAATATACGAGGCTGCTGTTATTACAATCTTGACCTATGGGAGCGAAGTCTGGATTACCACTCAGGCACAGGTGAATAGACTGGAAACCTTCCATCAGAGATGTCTTCGGAGAATTCTGCACATAAAGTGGTTTCAGCATGTGACAAACAAGAGCGTGTTACAGAAGGCAAACACAGTGGAGATCGGAACACGCATAGCTAACAACAGACTAAGATGGCTAGGTCATTTGCTAAGAATGCCCGAAGAACGGCTGCCCAAGTTTCTCTTGGAATGGACTCCCAACTATGGGAAAAGATCTAGAGGAAGACCACGGAAGACATGGCTGGCATGTGTACTGGAAGATGCCAGGACGACCATGCAACAACCCAGTCTGACCCTAGAGGACCTGAAGACGATTGCCCACGACCGCCAAGTATGGCGCAGGACGCTGTGCAGACGGAGGGACGACTTTGACGCAGGCCACTCACAGAGATGAGGAGACCTACTCAAGTACAAGTACAAGTAAGTAAGTAATACGTAATTCATACCGTTATGGATCGAATTTTATTCGCAACATAACACATCATCAAATAACTTTAGACAGAGCTTTTCAGAGGCACATGTACATTGTAGTAGCTTCGCAAGGTACGTAATCTCAAATATAACAGAATATATATGTTTTGCTTTGACATATATTATAAACACCGATGAATATATAATAAGATAAGATAAGATAAGATAAGATAAGATAAGATAAGATAAGATAAGATAAGATAAGATAAGATAAGATAATGTAAAAAAAGAAATAATAAAATTAAAAAAATAAAAATTAAATAAATTCATGGACAAGTGACCTGTCGTTTTATAGCTATGATGCCACATCCACGAATTGTGATATCACTGAACACTTACATGTATATTTACCATTTACATGCCCGTAGCCGGGGGGGGGGTTGTCAACCTTAGATATATTATAATTTATATATAAAGTGTTAAGTGATAGCGATAGCTATATACGCGAATACGACCTCATATGAGACGTTCTCCTGAAGTGCTATGCACAATACTCTTCTTGGCCGCTCTTCTTGACTGGACATCGACAGTCCTACCAGACAGAAGAGACTAGTCTACTCTACTCTACTCTAATACATTACGGGTTTCGGGCAGATGCAGTACGTTCTGCCGGCGTACATGCTCCCTTAGGCCACACCAATTTAATTTGTTGCTTCTCGGATTTTTTCAGAAAAAAAGATGAAGCGAGTGGGCGAAAAAAAACTCCCCATGATAGCTAGCCATAAATGCTACGAAATGAGTCATGAAGTCAACATACCAGTCTGGTTTATAATTAAAACAACAGATTTTGAACTTTAAATGACACTAAGTTGCATTGGTACATCGAAAAACTTTAACAATTAGGAAGAAAGGGACTTTCCTCAACTGTAGGGCCCAAAACATGTCTTTTATTGAGCATCTTGCAGTTGATTCAGAACCTAAAACCTTATTTTTTTACAAATCAGAAAAAAATGGAATCCGAGAAGCAACAAATTAAATTGGTGTGGCCTTATCGCATGTTACACGCTGAACATGTTCAACACAACACGGAAGTGACGTCACACAACACGGAAGTGACGTGATGTCGTCAAGCGTTGAACGTGAACGTGACGGAAGACTTGGGCACGATCCCGCCGGCCACCAAGTCTCTGCAACGGGAAAACACGAGTGTAAGAAACAGGAGGAGCGAGTAGAAACAGATAAAAAAAACCTGATTCCGGGCCGGGGTTCGAACCCACGACCTCCCGAGCACCAGTTCAGACTTCGACGCTCTAACCACTCGGCTAAAGGTCTAGACCTTTCGTTTTTTTCGTATTTGTATTTCATAGAATCCGGCTAGTTATCACACGGATATGAAAATTCGTATTCGTATTCGTAAAATTTGTATATTCGTATTCGTATAAAATCCGGCTAGTTATCGCACGGATATGAAAATTCGTATTCGTAAAATTCGTATATTCGTATTCGTATAAAATCCGGCTAGTTATCACAAGGGCCGGAGCACCCGTATCGAACGATATTGCGGCCCAGGTACTCGTACATAACTCTATTTATCTGAACATAAATCTATTTATCTGAAAAGTTTCATCAAGGAAAGATCCTAACTTACTCGGGAGGAGACATGGGCAGTGGTTTGTGGAATCCCTGCTTGTGGACCAGCCAAAAGGTGTCCTGCATCCCCTTTCCCTGTAAGGTAAGTTAAAGGTTAGTTAAAGTTAATCTTAAAACCCTTGTCCTGCTGTGCGCAACAGATGTCGCGCGGCACATACAGTACCATCTATATAACACCCTGTATAGGTACGATTTGGGGGTATTTCTCGTGCAACGCATCACACCGCAGCGAAATGCATCGAATGCGGAAGTAACTATGCCACTGCAGGGCAAAAAAATTTGGGGGTCTATGATTTAATTAAGACATGAAATTATTGAAAAATATTGTGCCAGGAATGCCAGCAGGACAAGGGTTAACTCGTACTGAATGAACATTGCAGTACTGCTAATCACTTCCTCCCAAATTTCTCTTCCAGCCAGTATAATAGTCACGATTGCCAAACGATTTCCCAACAATTGCTGGGTTGCACATATATTGTATCTATATAACACCCTGTATAGGTACGATTTGGGGAATATTTCTCGCGCAACGCATCACACTATAATATTTTGCACAATTTTACAGTGGTGTATGTCAAAGGTGTGAATGGTATTCTTTGGACATATGTCCAAGGTATCTCCATACCAATTTTCAGGTCATTTGGATTTAATGTTGGGGCACAGGAGCCAAAAATGTACATTTTTGTCCGAAAATAGCAAAAAGCTTATCTTACACAATTAAAGTACTGTATGTCAAAAACGTGAATGATATTCTGTGGACATGTGCCCAAGGTATCCACATACCGAATTTCAGGTCTTTCGAATTTAATACCAGGGCTCCAGATCCCAAAATGTACATTTTTTCCTGTAAATGGCAAAAAAAAATTTTAACTCAGCCCAGCTGGCAAAAATGTGCAATAAAGGTCGTCATTCCTTCCTTCATTCATTAATGTGAATCAGTGTCTGTAATACTCTGACGTATTTCATGTGACATTGGCCCATGTACATGCAAGTCGATTTTGAATAAAACTCCGTGAACTGAAGTCAAAGTGGGTCCTAAGGCCAGTGAAGGCTAGTCTCCGTATCAGGGGGTTATATATACTCGTAGAACTGGGGACTTGGTGGTCTTCGGCTGTTTTATGTTTAGCCCAGTTCTAACGGGGGTAATTCAACCAGGCCAGCTATGTTGTCTATATGCAATCAGAGAATAGCACATAAAAGCTCCCAAAGACCATGAAGACCCCCAAAACCCCCAGTTTTTGGCATGCTATGGAGGCTAAGTGAAGGCCACTGTGTGTAATGGACTGGTCATCTGATTATAGCGAAGATCCCTGTCAGAAGATTACACCGTAAGGTCCAAGCCAGGTTATCAAGGTCTCATCTAACAATCTGCTTACGAGAGTACATTCCTTTGACATTGAAGTCACTTCAAACATGCAGAATGTTGTTACGATAGACCATGTGTAAGTTACGCAAACCTTAGCCGTAGCCGTAGCAGACCCACTCCTAACTATGGTTGGTGGGAGTTCGGCTAGCACAAATTCGTAAATGTGTGACTCCAGCATAGTTAAACATAGTTAAAATCCACCCCGCAACCATTAGCATGGTTGTATATGTCGGCGCCAATCTCCGTTTCTGTAGCAATGGGCCACACAATTGTGTCACTACACCACTGGTAGTGGTGTGTGTTCAACTCCCATATTCCGTCTCAAATGCTGAGTGCTATTAAAGCATTTTTTTAAGTCTTTGGTATGACTCGGCCGGGAATCGAACTCACGACCTAACGAATGCAAGGCGAGCACTCTACCCACTTGGCCATTGCACAGGTCATAAGACTCCAGCATAAGCCAGTGATTTATTTTTGATGTAATGCAAGAATGAATGTATAGCAGACAAACTATGTAATTATGTTTCAAAATGTTTCAAAAAGAGAGAAGAAAGGGCAACTAACAGTAGATGATAGGTAGTATATAGTATTGTTATAATGTATAAATTCCTAGCAATTAGCATTAGAATATAGCGTCCCAGTATGCACACTGCATGTCCTCTTGTGCATTTAGCCCATCTGGGCAAGAACATGCAATAAAGATTTATATCATTAAACCCTACCTTAATCTCCATCTGGCCGCGGTGCTCCACCTTAAACCCGCCCATCTCGTCCAGCGCACGCTTCAGCTCCGTACTGATGTGGATACGCAGGGCTGTAAGGTTGATATTCTGTTAGGCTTTCGTACTGATACACAGAAATAATAGAAAGGTTATTACAAATTCATTCCCTAGGGCTAATTGCAAGACTTTGAACGTAACCAAGTCATCCGGCAGCTCGCTGCAAGCACCCGAACCGGAACCAACACGTCTCCCTCGATGGATCCGCTGGGGAAGACGGATGCCCAAGTGTGTGGGTCTCAGATTCGCAACCTGTTATCCACCTTAAACAAACCCACGCGAAGGCCGCCGTGTTAACTGTGACCCTCACTCAGGTGTAGGGACTGACACGGTCATCCTACTCGGAAAATAATATGTATCTGTACATGAATCGAGCACTCTACCCACTTAGACAATTGCACCACAAAGAAAATATCGAAATTATAAAAAATGTACTAGCGTGGTAATTTTGTTCACCTCTCCCGTTTGACTCCATCCTTGACGCTGTGTTGACCGTGTCCCCGAATAGACAGTACCGCGCATGGACACACCCCCCCTCCCCGCTATTCAAAACAACGGGTTTTTGCGGCCGGTCCCACGTGCCTCTTAAATTTAGGGGTGCTTCTGAAATATTAAATTGACCGCGAAAACAGCTACGGCAAAAATAAAAATACGTGCATCTTCAAGGGCATGCCCGCAGACGACGTATAAAATAACATACCGATTAAACAAAGGGAACCCCGTGTTCTAGCTGCGAACACGAAAAAACGACTGACCACAATACTTCGTCTGGAGGTCATGACCTCCTTCACGGAGTAATACTAGTAATCAAGTTTGGCATAAGTAATTAAACAATACGGTGAACAAACTAGATGAATAGGTTTGGCTACAAGAAGATGAAAATATAACAAATCAATAAATCAATCAATAAGTACATCAAACAATATAACATTTTACCTCTCCCATTTGACTCCATCCTAGACGCTGTGTTGACCGTGTCCCCGAATAGACAGTACCGAGGCATGGACAGACCGACAACCCCCGCGGCGCAAGGTCCCGTATGTAGGCCGATGCGCAGAAGCAGCTGCGCAGACGGCAGGTGCCGAATGGTGAACTGCGCAGCCTCACTCAGCAGGTTCAGCGACATCGTGGCCACCTTGACAATCATTGACAATGAAAATATAGTAAATAATGTAACTATAGAAATAACGCATGACGATTAGGCCAGATTACTTTAAGATAGCTTGTCAGCATAGGTACACAGATATAACTTCTTTGGCACACTAGTACTGTTAATGTGTCTTAATTAAGTATATATATATATATTCTTTATTTTTTTAATATCTTTATTCACAAAATCACATAAACAATACACCATATCGCACTTGATACAGTACAAACTTAAAATGCGAAATTACAATAATGCCTAGTTATACAATTTACGACTATAGATACACAGCAATTGGTGGTCATGAGATTTGTACAGTAGATTTAAAACAAGGAGTGATTACAGAACTTATTAAACTACATTTTTACAGCACAGAGATGGGCGAATCAAAATGAAATATCGATAGTTAAGCCCTGTTATGACGGCTAGTTGGGCAGTCCTGGCTGTATAATTGTTTATACAGTTTAATAAATCAAATTAAATCGATATGCAAATTCACCTGATCCACGTGGTCCGGGTTCCTGTCGGGGATCCCCGATACGACCATGTAGGAGTCATTCACCGTCTCAACCTGGGGTGGAGAATGAATGAATGAATGAATGAATGAATGAATGAATGAATGAATGAATGAATGAATGAATGAATGAATGAATGAATGAATGAATGAATGAATGAATGAATGAATGAATGAATGAATGAATGAATGAATGAATGAATGAATGAATGAATCAAAAATATAATTAACTACACACACAACCATGTAGGAGTCATTCATCGTTTCAACGTGAGGTGCAAAAGAAAGGAAGGAATAAATGAACGAATCATATTATTTCAGATAATATCTGATAATA